AATGTTGAACAGACCCATAACCAGAAAAGAAATTGAGTCAGTAATTAAAAATCTCCCAGTAAACTCAAGTCCAGGGCCAGATGACTTCCAGGGCAATTCTACGAGACATTTAAAGAAGAGTTAATACCTATCTTTCTCAATTTGTTCTAAAAAATAGAAATGGAAGGAAAACTTCAATACTCTCTCTATGAGGTTAGTGTTTCCTTGATTCCAAAACCAGATAAAAACTCCAATAAAGTGAACCCAACAGTTCATTAAAAAAATTACTCACCACAATCAAGTAGGATTTATTCCTGGGTTGCAGAGATGGCTCAATATTCACAAATCATTCAACGTGATACACTGCATTAATAAAAATAAGGATGAGAACCATATGATCCTCTCAACAGATGCAGAGAAAGCATTTGACAAAATTCATTCTTGATAAAAGTCCTCAAGAAAGTAGGTATAGTTGGAACATCCCTCGACATCATAAATGCCATATATGAAAGACCCATGGTTAATATCATCTTCAAAGGGGAAAAGCAGACCTTTTCCTATATGGTTAAAAATAAGACAGAGTGAGGTGCCTGGGTGGCTCAGTGGGTTAAAGCTGCTGCCTTCAGCTAAGGTCATGATCCCAGGGTTCTGGGATGGTGAATCAGGCTCTTTGCTCAGCAGGGAGTCTGCTTTCCCCTCTCTCTCTGCCTGCCTCTCTGCCTACTTGTGATCTCTGTCTGTCAAATAAATAAATGAGTAAACCTTTAAAAAAATGAATAAGACAGGGATGTCCACTCTCACCATTACTATTTAACATAGTACTAGAGGTCTTAGCCAGCAATCAGACAATAACAATAACTACAAAGGCATCCAAATCTGCAAGGAAGAAGTCAAACTTTCACTATTTGCTGATGACAAAATACTCTGTGTAGAAAACCCAAAAGATTTCACCAATAAATTGCTAGAACTCATACATGAATTCAGCAAAGTCATAGGATATAAAATCAATGTACAGAAATCTGTTGCATTTGTATACACCAATAATGAAGCAGCAGAAAGAGAAATCAAGGAACTGATCCCATTTACAATTGCACCAAAACCCATAAGATACCTAGGAGTAAACCTAATTGAAGAGGTAAAAGACATGTACTCTGAAAACTTTGGAGCACTTATGAAAGAAATTGAAGAGGACACAAAGAAATGGAAAAATATCCCACGCTCATGGATTGGAAGAACAAATGTTGTTAAAATGTCTATGCTTCCCAAAGCAATTTAAACATTTAATGTAATCTCTATTGAAATACACCAGTATTTTTCACAGAGCTGAAATAAGCAATCTTAAAATTTGTATGGAACCACAAAGGACCCTGAATAGCCAGAGGAATGTTGAAAAACAAACTCAAAGAAGTTAAACTCTCACTCTTTGCAGGCAACATGATACTTTTATAGAAAACCCAAAAGACTCCAGCAAAAAATTGCTAGAACTCATACATGAATTCAGCAAAGTCACAGGATATAAAATCAATACACAGAAGTCAGTTGCATTTCTATACACTAACAATGAAGCAGAAGAAAGAGAAATCAAGGAATTGATCCCATTTACAATTGCACCGAAAACCATAAGATACCTAGGAATAAACCTAATCAAAGATGTAAAGGATCTATACTCTAGAAACTAAAACATTTATGAAAGATATTGAGGAAGACACAAAGAACTGTAAAAACATTCCAAATTCATGGATTGGAAAAACAAATATTGTTAAAATGTCTATGTTTCCAAAGCAATCTACACTTTCAATGCAATCCATCCCTATCAAGATACCATCAACATTTTCATAGAGTTGGAAAAAATAATCCTAAAATTTGAATGGAACCAGAAAAGACCCCAAAAAGCAAAGGAATGTCAAAAAAGAAAAGTAAAAGTCAAATGTCAAAAAGTAAAATGTCAAAAAAGAAAAGTAAAGCTGGAGCCATCTGTACTTCAAGATATATTACAAAGCTGTAGTCATCAAGACAGTATGGAACTGGCCCTAAGACACATAGATCAATGGAATAGAATAGAAAACCCAGAAATGGACCCACAATTATATGGTTAACTATACTTTAACAAAGCAGGAAAGAATACCCAATGGAAAAAGACAGTCTCTTCAACAAATGGTATTGGGAAAACTGTATAGCCACATGCAGAAGAATGAAACTGGACCATACATAAAAATAAACTTAAAAAAAAAAAAACCCTAAATGTCAGGCAGGAAAATCATCAAAATCCTAGAAGAAAACATAGGCAGCAACCTCTTTGATTTTGTCCATGGGAACTGCTTACTAGACATGTCACTGGAGGCAAGGGAAACAAAAACAAAATGAACTGTTGGGACTTTGTCAAGATAAAATGCTTCTGCAGAGTGAAGGAAACAAAACAATCAACAGAACCAAAAGGCAGCCTATGGACTGGGAGAAGATATTTGTAAATGACATACTGGATAAAGGGTTAATGTCCAAAATCTACAAAGAAGTTATCAAACTCAACACCCAAAAAACAAATACCACCCCAAAAACCAAACAAAAAGAAATCCAGTTAAGAAATGGTCAGAAGATATGAATAGACAGTTTTCTAAAGAAGACATCCAGATGGCCAATAGATACATGAAAAGATGTTCCCCTTCACTCATCATCAGGGAGATACAAATCAAAACCACAATGAGATATTACCTCACACCTGTCAGAATGACTAAAATGAGTAACACAGGAAATAACAGATATGGGAGAGGTGTGGAGAAAGGAGAACACTCTTGCACTATTGATGGGAATAAAAACTGGTACAGCCACTCTGGAAAACAGTATGGAGGTTCCTAAAAATGTTGAAAACAGAACTACCCTATGATCCAGCAATTGCACTACTAGGTGTTTACCCAAAGGATAAAAAAAAAAAACAGATTTGAAATGGTACATACACCCCGACCTTTATAGCAGCATTATCAACAATAGCCAAACTATGGAGAGAGCCCAAATGTCCATCAAGTAATGAATGGATAAAGAAAAGGTCATATATATATATATATATCCCACCTCTTCCTTATCCATTTACATACACACACACACACACATATGTGTATGCATGTAATGGAATATGGATATGCATGTAATGGAATATAAGTGGAATATTACTCAACCACTCACAACCAAAGAATGAAATCTTGCCATTCTAAAGACATGGGTGGAGCTAGAGTATATTATGCTAAGTAAAATAAGTCAGTCAGAAAAAGACAAATACCATACGATTTCACTCACATGTAGAGTTTAAAAAACAAAACAGATGAACATATGGAGGGGGGAGGGGACGCAAAGCATAAGAAACTCTTAATGATAGAGAACAAACTGATGGGTGATGGAGTGAGGTGGGTGGGGGATGGGCTAGACGAGTGATGGGTATTAAGGAGGGCACTGGTATGATAATTACTTGATGTTGTATGTAAGTGAGGAATCACTGAATTCTACCCCTGAAACCAATATTGCACTGCATGCTAACTAACCAGAATTTAAATTAAATTTTGAAGAAAAAAATACTTAAAAATAATAGATGAACAATGACTCTTGGAACACTGCAGTGATGTATTTTATGGTGACTAACATAACACAATAAATAAATAAATAAATATTAAGAAAAATAAAATAATAATAGTAAATAAACAAAATAAAATGCAGTGCTTTCCACATTTGTCTGACTTCTAAACCATTTTTTCTTGTTTTTGTCACTGAACATCTCAAGAGGCTTGTGTTCTAATGACCAAACTTCAGAAAACACTGAATTAAAGGCTCTTAGAGAGGCATTGTTTGCAATGGCAACAAGGTGAAAATAAGCTGAGTAGTCATTGCTAACCTCCTTTCCTGCAGGGAATGCTAGGCAGCCCTATGAAGAACAGGGCAGATCCACGTACGTTGGCATGGAAATTTTCCAGCTTGTTTCATTAAATGCAAAAACAAGATGCAAACTCAATAAACTGTCCCCATTTATGTGTGTATGTTTGAGTGTCAGTGAAGAGGAGTTGATGCAAAGGTAAATATAAGTGTATAATTATACATAGTAAATTTCTCAGTGCATATATAAGACACTATAGAGGGTTTCTTGCAGAGTGGCACTGAGTGTACAGATAAAAGGTGTTTTTATTTTTATTTTGTATCATTAAGTATTGTTCAACTTTATTTTTACCAACTCATGTAATTATTTTTATAATTTAAAAAAAAAAAACACAAACTTTAAAAGCTTCCTGGAAACCCTTTTTGGTCTTTTTGTAATTTTGTGGTTTCCTGAATCCCAAATTGAGGCTAAGTTATGCCTGTCTTCTGTATGAGAAATGGTCAAGGCTTTATACCCTTGGGTCCACCAGAATACCAACTCTTCTGTATTTTTCCATCCCGAAATTGCAGGAACATTTGGATGACTGAGTACCCTGAGGAGTAACTGGCCCCTCTGTTTCGGGGGCCTACATGATGGGCTGCATCTAGATTTCCAGAAGACCAAAGAACCCAGCCACGGGGGCAAGAATGGAACATTGAGTACCACTGTAGGTAAACATTAATAGGCAAATCATGACTAAGCACAGAATCCCAGAGTCCAAAAGCATCTAATCTAGAAGGATCTTTCTACAAACCTGACAACTGAAGGAGAAAAATTGAAGACCATACTAAAGATTTCAGATCTGAAACTTCTGACTCTGAATCTGGGAGAATTTATACAATGCAATATTTTCTTCCAAAATGGGAAGAACATGCCCCCTCCCTTCTATTCACATGGAGATGGGAAAATGTTCCTGGTTTGAAGGCTTTAAAATTGACCTAAAGGGGAAAGAACAAACAAACAAACAAAAAACCCTGACCAAAGCTAGACACGGTAGATTAAAGAAGCAATGTCCAACCAGAAAAGGCAGAACCAGAAATGTGGAGAAGGAAAATTTGTTGAGCTAATTTAGCTAATTCTCAGTTTGATGAACATTTGGAAAGAAGCACCAAGGTAAAGAAATAGAGTGCTCTTTTCAGTAGTACATAAACTAAAGTTGGAATGATACAGAGATTATCGTGACCCCTGTGCACAGATTATGTGCAGATTTGTGAAGCATTCCATATGTAAAAGAAGGAAAAGAAAAGAAAAGAGAAAGGAAAGGAAAGGAAAAGAAAAGAAAAAAGGAAAGAAAAAAGAAAAGGAAAGGAAAGGAGCAGACCCAAATCAAAAGTCCAAGACAAATTTGTGTTGATGAAGGAAACTGGTGAGAAAAAAAATTCATAGTTGTCTTTGGCATCTACTCTACATACCTAAGAGGAATTAACTTCTCAACTAGTTATATATATTGTAAACTTAGTGGTAACTTTGAAGAACAAGGATAGTGTAGGTGGAGAATGAGCTTTTCTATCTAAGTGAATTATCCGAAGGATGGAAGGTCTTTTTTCAATGATAGAATTTCTATAAATTTTTATAATGTTTATGGAAATCTTTATAAAAAGCACCATCTGTTCCCCAGCCCTTTTAAAGAGAATCTGCTGCACAACATTTAACCTTTTCCTCAAGTTTTCATTTACTTGTTTGAAAATCCTTTGAAAAATCCTTTTCCTGAGTTTTTTTACAGAGAGACCCTAGGAACATTTAAGGTATAATGGTTCTGCCCGTTGTTTTCTGTTCCTTACTTTGTATCCTGTGTAGGTTTTACAAAGCATTGGTACATCTGAAGGGATTCATTCCATTCTAGTGACAGTGAGGAATAAGACGGGGGCAGTCCAATGACAGGGATTTATGAGGAAATAGAGTAGTTTCTTTTTTGACTTTGTGTACTTCTGAATCATTCCATTTCTTTTTTTTCCCCCTTTACAACAAGCAAGTTGTTTTCACAATAAACAAGTTTGTTATTTTTGTATCAAGCAGACAAATAATAGAACAGGTAAGTGAAAATGAGAAAATAGCACCCCGATTCCTGTTCTCTTATTTGATAGGAGTCCAGGGATATTTGGGGTCGTTATTATTGCCATTTTACAGGTGATAAAACTGAGGTCCTGGGGAAGTTTAATAGACTTGTCCGAGGCTGCACACTGAGTTAGTGGTAGAATCTGAGTGTGAATCTGAATGTTGGTTCCTAGGCCCTCACACCCTCCACTTGGCAATATAAGCCCCTGGGAAAATGCAGCCTACTCTGAATACCAACCTGAGCAGGTCCCTCACTGAGAATCAGTCAATCCATCTCTCTTTCTATCTTTTTCTCCCATTGCCATTAAACCTGGTCCTAGCAAACTCTGGTCTCTTCTAATTTGCTGCTTTTACTGTATTAATGGCTGGAAGGTCAAACTCCACAAGAAGCATGCTGTAGCAGAAGAGGAAATAACTGTGCTTGTGTATGCAGGATTGACAAAGACATGGGCTTAGTCCATGGTCCCTGGGGTGATGCTGCCTGCCCAGAAGCCCCCTCCCTTCCTTCTTCATTCCTACCCATGTTCCAGGTAGTTGACATAAACCATATGATATACATAAAGTCTGTCTACTGGTAGCCAGAGTACTCAAAAGCATACCTAGATGAGAATATATTGGTTTCATGATGATCTTAGCCAGTATAAGAGAAAGTAAAGAAAAGGCAAAAAGAAGAAAGGAAGTGAGGAGATGAGATCTGGAGAAACTTTGTTTCCAAGAGTAAGCCATAAGAGCAGAGGTGACATTAGTAAGAGACCTAGGCAGGTGGCATGGGCAGATGGCATGGGGTGGTAAAGGAAACTCTGGTGTTTGTTCCCTGTCATCTTTATCAGACCCCTAGGCTACCCCAACCAGTGTATAATCCAAGTACAAATAATGTGCAGTTATAAAACATGGTTTCACAAGAAGGCCTCTAGCTCTCTCTTCAGAATATTGTCACCTCTAAGCCCCTCCTGCATAAAAATCCTGGGATCTCCAACATTCAGGAAATCTGCTGGGAAGTCCTCACTTCCCAGCCACTCTCAGATAGGGTCTTCTCCAAAGATAAATCAAAAAGTCATGATGGGTGATGGGTAGCCAGGGTTTCCCAAGTCTGGAGGGAGCTCTCTTCTTACCTTGCCCCCCAGAATACCATCTGGCTAAACCTGGACCCCCAACAAATAAACACCAGAACCTACAGAAGTCAATCAATCCTCCTTTGTGGTCTGAGTCACAGACATGTATCTGACATCAGCATGCACGCACACACACACACACACACATACATGCACACACTCCCACATGGGCCCTTCAACCCAAGGCCCATGGGAAAGACAGGCATCTGTGCAGCCCAAGGAGCCAGTTTCTCCAGGCTGCAGTAGTATTCACAAGGGGTGGGACTAATAGGAGATGCCTGTGTGTTATACAGTTAAGAAGATAAAATGACCTGTAAGGCTGGTAATAACCATCCCTGTGAAGAGAGTCAAGCAACACTGAAACCATCATGCTAGGAAAAAGAAATGATTGCTCATATCTTCTTATATTCACTGTCCCCACTGGTCACAGGAATCATAAACATGTTTGGTGATCTACTTGGACTTAGCTGGGGCTGGTGAGGGAACAAATGAAGCCAGGCAGGGATGGGGTTTATTTTAGTTCAGGCAGGCATCAGGTCAGTGCTAGGCAGTGTGGCGGCACAGTGGTTCCCAAGCCAGTGTGTTTCAGAACTACCCGGGAGACTTTCATACCAAGACACAACCTAGGGCTCTTGTGACACTTGCAGCATCAGCATCAGATATCTTCAATGATGTTTAAGGTTCCCCAGGTGATTCTGCTGCAATTTGTCCAGGGACTGGCATTTAGAAACCACTGCAGTGGGGGATATAATGGAAGCATAAGATCTAGTTTGTCCTTATGGAACTTATCAGATAAGCAAAGAGGTAAGACTCATTCATAGGATAGAGATTTAATTATTCCCTCATCAATGTTCACATAGTGCTTTTATAGGTATCTCTACAGTGCTTTTGTTTCCATGGGTTGAAAATGTTTGTTCGTCTCTCTGTGAACTATTTGAAGGCTGGGTTGTGTTTATTCACTGTGGATACATTTATTCACACAATTATCTAACCACTTGTTCATCCTGTTACTTCGACAAATACTGAGTCTCCAGGGTGCCAGGTGCTTTTCTAGGTGCTGGCAATGCAGCAGACTGACAAGTCACTGACCTCCTGGAACTTATATTCTGGAGGGGGTGAGGGTGGGGAGCAATAAAATAAACCAATGAATGAAATGAGTGCTACAAAGAAGATAAAACAAAGCTATGGGAAAGAGATGAATCAGGAGGCAACATTTAATAATACAGTCATGGGAGGCTTCTCAAGCTAAACCCTAAATGATGATGACACAGAATTAGTGTCATGAACATCTGGAAAGAACACCCAAGGCAGAAGCAGAAAGTGCAAAGGCTCAGCAGCTGGAATGAACTGGGGAGCTGCAGAAACGGAAAGCAGGCGGGGGAAGCTGATCCCAGCAGCTGGCAAGGGAGAAGCAGGATGTGGCTGGGGGAGTGGGCAGGGGACAAACAACAGGAAGCCTTGATGGCCCTGGAGGGAGAGGATTCTATTTTCTGTGTGATTCTAAGTGCAATAGAACACCCCTGGATGGTGTTAACCAAGGTGATTAAACCATATGATCTGGTTTCCTCCTTTAAAATTCACTCAGCTTTGTGGAAAATGGCTTACATGGGAGCAGGAATCTAAGTGGGAAACCAGTTTCAGAAGAATGGACAGGGAAGAGTGGAAAAGGCAGAAGGAGCACTGGTGCAAAGAGGAGACTGGCACAGCACACACTTTGGTGGAAGAGAAAGGAATCAGGGATGACTCCCGGATTAGTGATTAATCCCAATGTCTGGAACATAATAATAAGCATTCAATAAATGATCATCGAACAGTTGCATAAGTGAGTATAAAACAATGCGACACCAACATGTCCAGTGCAGGCAAAAGTACTTTGGGCCATCAAGAAAGATGTCAATGTGGATTCTGATTGTCCAGGAAATGGGATTTGAAATTTGACTCAAAGATGAGGAGCACTGGGATAGAGAAGAAAACACTGGAGGAAATTCTAGACCAGAACATTTAAAAAAAAAAAAAAAAAACAACAACAAAAAACAAAACTGGTATGTTCTCTTTTTTGGAGGAGCGTGTTTCTTTTTTTAGCTTTGGGATTTCTTAAGGGATTGGAGGTCCAGGAAAGTACAAAGGCAGCTGTGTTGGCAAAGCAGAAGATAAAGATGCAGTTGGTTGGATATGAAAACAGGAGAAGAATATGAAGCCTCTTGAAAACCAGGCAGTAGTTTGGGTTCAAAAAGCAACAGAGATCCATCATGCCTTCTTGTCTGGGAAAGCGGCAAGCTGGCAGCAGGTGGCTTATATCTTGAATTTAGATGGCCTGGGGCTGGAAGTCAGGGACACAATACCAGGAGACAGCAGATCAGATAGAATTAGAGTAACCTAAACAATAGGTCCACCAACCTATCCTCTCTGGAAAACATAAACAAGAACATAAACAAACAAAAAGCCATAATGTTCCAAGCCTGGTCTCCAACTCAGAAGAGAAACGGATGTATAGAACCAGAGGTCCTCGAGGTCTGCCGGGGAGGACAATGCAGGAGAAGAGGTGGGAAGTAGTCACTTGAGAGAAAGTAAGTCATCCCTGAGCCAATAAAGCAGCACTCACTAAAGCTTGAAGAGGACACAGGAGTTTTTAGCTGCAGGTAGCTGGGTGCCCTGGGACAATTTGCATATTTTCCTTCTCCTTCAAATTCCAAATCTAAGTAGAATTCTTGGTCCTCCCCAGGGCATTTGCAACTGCCATGAGTGGGCCATGTCTATGGAGAACATCCTCCTTTGGAGATTCAAAGACCAGCCATGACCGAAACCCAGCCTCTCAGCCCTTGCAACATGTGTAGAGATAACTCGGCAGACAGAGGAAGACAGAGAAGTGAGATTTTTTTCTTTTCATGTTCAAGATGCTGCTGGAACATGGCTTCTCCCATGATATATGTATCACAAATCTAAGAATTTGAGGACCTCACCCCATACCCCAGTAGGTCAGAACTACACTTGGTCACTTGGAAGTGGAGACCACAGCAAAGAGTGATGGACTATGGAGTCAAGCCTCCTGAATAGAAAGGAAAT